GTGGGTCAGGGGACTGGAGGGCGTCCGCCCGGCGGGTGGCCCCCAGGGCACCACCAGGGGCCTGGTGCCCGGGGTGAGGAGGGGTGAGGAGGGGAGGGCCTGGGCCGGCATGTCAGCCATCTGCTCTGTAGTGGTCCCTGGGCCGGACCCCGGGCTCGGGACGCTGGCTGCTGCCTGCCTGTGTTGCTTGGCTTCCTGTCTGAGTTTTGGCCTCACAGCAGGGGTGCCACTGCTGTATGGTGGGATTTAGGGGTACGCAGCCCCTCCTGCGTGGAGGCTCCCACTCTGCCGTCATGAGGAAGGCCGAGGCCTCCTCATCCAACTGCAAGCTGGCACCGTGGGTGCCGGGCAGCCACGGCCATCTATGGGACAGCTCCCACCCCCCGAAAGCCCAGCCGTGCCCCTCCCCAAAGCCAGGGGTCCTGTGTTCTGCTCTAACCCAGAGCATCACAGGCCCCGGAGCCTCCCTTCGCACCTGCCTCCTGCCCATAGGTACTCCCCCCCCCCCACCGGCTGCCATGGGCACTGGGCTCAGTGTCCTGGCTCCGGCCACCCCTGCACCGTTTCCCTGACCCACTGGCTGAGAGTCCTCACGCACAGCAGACCTGCAGAATGGCAGAACCGTCTCAAGGGGCAAGCCCTCCCCAGTAGCTGTCAGGATCTGCCCCACCCCAGCTTTACGACCCCTGGAAGCTGGGATGACCAGGTGGGCCTGCTGGCCTCCGGAGGGACGCCGTGAACGAAGGGTCAGGAGGACGCCATGAAAGAGGGGACAGTTGGCTCTGCACGCTGAGGCCCCTTGGCCTGGCCGCCCCATCCCGGACCGCACGTCTTCAGGAAGGCTGCCCGGGGCTCCTCAGGCCAACCTGGAGCATCACCAGAGACCAGGGCGCACCAGCACCGACAGCCTCCGAGGGCCTGGCTTTATTTCCCATGGCACCTGTGGCACCGGGGACCCTACAATCACAGCCATTTCCCTGTCCATCCAGAGGGGCCCAGAAGGCTGCAGCCGGCCCACGGGCAGGACCATGCGACTCCACGTCTCCACGGGCTCTGTGCTTTGGGAGGTCGGCCAACCGGAAAGAACCGACTGGACTGGTGCCCGTATCTAACCCAAGCCCAAATCCCACACCAGTCTCGAAACTCACAAAAACAAACTTCTGCTGGCGGAGGGGCCTGGGCGCAGGAGGAGAGGAGAGATCTATCACGGCCTTGGGAGTCACGCGGTCGCTGCTGGCACTGGTCTGGGGGTACCTGATGGGACCCTTTCTTGCAACATCCAAAGAACGGGTTTCGTAGCTGTGAAGAAATGCCGGTCGCCCCGGAAGCGGGGCCACGGGTCAGATTCCTTTGAAAATTTATTTCCTACATTTCACATACTTGTGTGGTTTCTCTCATTTTGTTTTTATTTGGCAAACATCTCTTCAGAGTCATCATCATCATCACCACCACCATCATCACCACGGATACCGTCTTTTGGACCTCTGCAGACTATTTACATTCACATTATGACTCCTGGCTCTGGTGGGGCCTCTGGACCCAGTTCAGTAGCTGACCACCCTTATTGCACTGTTGTCACGGAGCTTTCTAGAGAATGCACGCAAGTGGTCTGGTGTTGGCTCTTCCATTTGTGACAGGCGTGACTCTCCTTCCTTCAGTCCTTCCTGAATCATGGAGGGAGTCAAGCGGATGGAGGGCAAGGTAGGCAAGAAATGGAGTGTGTGTGGGAAAACGTCTAACCAAAAAATCTGACAGAAAAGTATCACCCATCGCCCTGAGGACTGGGAGCACAGATGGGGGGTCACACGGATGCGGGGTCACACCGGGCTGCGTGCACATCTCCAAGGTGAGGTCCGGGCCAGCTGCCTCCGTGGCTGTTTTTTTTTTTTTTCTGTGAAAGCTAGGGAGGAAGGAGAGGAGCTCATGGAGACATGGGTTGGGTGGTGACGGGCTGAGAGGTAGGGTGGGGCGTGGCGAGTAGAGGTAGAGCGGGGAGCACCCGGCGCGGACTCTCAGGGCGGCGGCGAGCTCCTCACGCCTTGAAAAGCAGTCAGGATTCAACCCAAAAGGTTGCCACGGCTTCGTTTCGGAAGTATGCTCTCGGGGAAGAACACTTTAGCACGTTTGTGTTCTCACAAGTGGGAAGGTGAATTATAAAGTCACAGGGAGTGAGGACGGATGGGTGGATGGACCGACGGACGGAGGCGAGTTCCCTCGGACCCCAGGTGCACAGGGCAACCGAGGGAGGCCTTGGAACTCCAGCCTGGGCAGCGCCCAGGGGCTGAAGGACACCAAAGGCTGTGTCTCCTGGAGCCACGCCCCCTAACCCCAACATCCCAACACCCCAAACAAAATCAAGGCCCAAATGAAAAAGACCAACATCCAAACAAACCCAAGAGGGAGTAAAACAGTGAAAAAAATACTTTGGCAGTGAGAAAAACTTTTGGATTTTGACTTCCTGTGTTGCTTTTTGGACTCTTCGGAGCAGAGGTGTGGCGGCATCCTTGGCGGGCTAGCTAGTAAGGTAGTTTACAGGTAGGTTTCCTTTGCTTTTTTTTTTTTCTTTAAAAAAAACTTTTTGGATTTTTACTTAAAGCCAAAGAGTCTGACATGAAAGGAAAAACAAAACAAAACACCTGACACCAAAAATGCTTCTCGAGTCAGAAACCGAAGTCTTCCTCACAGCCCCCGCCGATCACCACGGCCCTTGGGGTGTCCGGGGACGGCGGTCAGGATGGGGCTGTGAAATCACAGCTTCTTTTTCCCTTTTAATAAGGAAGGGGAGAACTCCTCAGTTGTCTGTGTCCATGTTGAAGTAGCGTTTAAGCCAACGAAACAAGACCCACAGAAGTTCTTCACCGAAAACAAGCCAACACGTAGACTTTTTCCATGATAGAGAACATACGTAAAAGTCAAAAGACAGGAATGAGAGAGAGAGAGAGAGAGAGAGAG